TTTTTTAAATTACTAAATTCTTAGCCACGCTTCTGTTTTTCTTGGCTGTTGTGTGTCACGTCACAGATTAACAGGCCCACGTTTACACCACAAGGCGATGCTGCAGACCACTAGATAGACCGGTCGTAGAAATTTATGTTATACAACTTGTAGTCAATCTACACAAATATTATCAAAAACTTTTTTTCTTTTAAAATATGTTCAGATTTTGTAAAAAGTATAAGTCAAAATCGCAAAACTTAAATTTGATATGAGTTTCTTAGTTTTTAACTAATATAGTGGCGAATTACAAAAATTCCTTTTCAATGAAAATTAATGAGTTAAATAAAATAATTTAATAAATTACTAGCTTTTTCTCGCGACTACGTTCGCGTTATACCTCGAATCGTTTATGCATTAATTTAAATGATTTTTTACTTCTTTATAGAGAGCTAGTGAGCATATAGATGTTTTTTATTTTTCATCTTTTTTTATTTATTAAGAGCACTAATACTCTCTTTATAGGTTATTTTTTTCGTTATGATGTCACTAAATAAACCCTTGTATAAAATTTTATACTGTCTGGTTTATAATGTTATAGTATTGCACTTTCGTACAGCAAACTTTCATTCCCTATTCTACTCCCTAAACCTATATTTCATAAATTCGCTTTACCTTTGTGCGAATTTTTATGTGTATAATCCAGAGGTCACCAAGTTTTATATAAATTTTTACTAACTTTACCCATTTGGTTGATGAATTTCAAAAATTTCTTCTAATTCTTTTTGTAGGATTTCATTCTTCTAGACCAAATAGTAAGGAATTTTCATACAACAAACTGTTCCGAGATAATTTTACTCTCTAAGAGGATGAATTTCCTAAAATCGCTTTGTGTAGCTAATTCACTAATGTCGTTTAAACGAACCTTTGTGCTAATATTTATGTATCTAAAGCTGGCGGCATGAACTCACTCTAAAATATCTAAAAACGTAATATATAATCTAACTGACACACCACTGACAATGACAAATAATTTATTTCTGGAGGTATTGTGTGTAGCTGTTTTTCAGGTATGTTTTAGTATTTAGTCGTTTTACACAAAGAAATAGCCATTAAGCACTATAAAAATACTTCATAACAAATCTACACAGAGTACCTATACCTTTTTTTTTTGTATATACCTTTCATTTAAAAAAGAATCATCAAGATTGGTAAAGCGGTTTCGGCGGGATGGATGCAACAAAAAAACCCTTTGAGCTTTTATGTATGGATTTATTATATGTATGGATTTTATGTATGGATTAATTATTTTTCCAACATATTTTAGTTTGCAAATTTTTATAAATATTCAGACTCGCCAATATCGTACTCCACCGTGTCCAGCCTGTTTAGCCAAACGTAGGCCGATTTCTCTTCGGCGGCGTCGTGACCCTGGCCAAAGGAAGAGTCTTGAAGACGCTCATCTGCGCATAGGAATAAGTTGACTGCGTAGCGTATTGCGTATTAATCGATTCTGAAACTTTCTATCTCATGTATAACATGTTACGCAAGTTTATTATTTTAATATCGATTTTAATAGATAAATGTGTGAAATGCCACCTGAATATCTTCCGCCATGACATGTTTTTACTTTTTTGTTATGGTAAAGTGATTTGTATAAACTTTATTCAATAACGTATATTTTCCTCCATTTGTTGTTTTTTAATTTTAAGCGAAAATTAAGTATAACATTTTAGGAAAACGAAACACTGTAATATTTAAAAGAATAAGAAGAAATTAGTCTTATTTTGAAACGAAAATATAGAAAAAACTCTTTCTATAGAAAAAGTCTTTATACGAACCAGAATCCGGTGACATATACGCGGTCTCACCGGAAACATTACTTATTACTTCGCATAACTTGAAGAATATCTACTTTTAATAATGAACACTTCAGAAATACACCAGTAAAAACATTTATTATTTGAGATTAAAACTCGAATTAAATTATAAATATTAGTTACCTATGTTGTTAGAGCTTTTATAGGCCTGTTTAACGACTTAATAAGTTACCTAGCGAAAAAATCTGTGCGCGTACCTACCACTATTGTTACAGGTTAATTCGTTAAAGAAATATGTTACACAAGTTAAAAACGCTAAAATTTTAATGGTATTACTTGTGCATTATTGGCCTTATAATGTAATTTGTTGGAATTATATCTTCTTTAAATATAATTAGACTTTTTAACGACTTTTAAGTTACCTAGGAAAAAATCGGTGCACGTACCTACCAGTATTGTTACAGGTTAATTCGTGAAACAAATGTGTTACATATTATTCGTGGTATTAGTGGTATTATATTGGAATCAGTTTGGCATTAGTGGGGCATTATATGAGAAATTTTGGTATTTAATTTGTATTTTTGGCATTACTTTGGCATTAGTATACAGACATTTGTCAGCGGTTTACTCCTTGTAGATAATCAAAAAGTTTTTTGATAAAATTTGCTTTTTATGTCAGATCATTTCTATGAAAAATTACATTAGATTTTTATTAAAGACGCTGGGTAATTAAAACATTGACTAATAAAGCTTGTCCACTTTAAATAAGTGATCACGAAATATCCTCCTTGGAGTGTTTGGGTTAAGGGGTGTATAATAAATTAATCGTTGTTTTATAATAAAAACCATAAAACATTTATTTGTGAGTAAAATAATGCAATGGTTGGATATCTCTCCTTTATAATTAGGTGACTAAAAATACACTAAAATAATTAGAAAAAAAATCTTTTACTTATTTAGTAATTACGTCAATATTAATTAATTGACTTTCTAGTCTATTTTATTTTATGTACAAATATATCATTAAATTTTAAGCATTAAGTAATAAAACACTTTGTGGCCCTCTTATATCGTAAGAGGTTACGAAATATACTCCTGGTTACACCCCTTACAGAAAACAGTGTAAGGGGTGTAAATAAATTGTATAATCACTGTTTTTTATAATAAAAACTATAAAACATTTCTTATTTGTGAGATTAAAAAAACAAAACAATGCATTGGTTAAAATAAGTACATTCAATACATATGTATGTGTTATAACATAATATAGCCATTACTATTATACTATTATTATTAAAATAATATGTGTGTAACATATTTCTTTAACGAATTAACCTGTAACAGACATTTATGTGCCCAGTATATTTTTGTTTAACAAACCAATCAGGAAAAATCCAAAACCTACCGTTATAGGAGGTATAAGATGATTAAACTTATATAATGACAACTACTTATCGGATAACAAATTAATTACTACTGTCAGCTAGTAACTGTCTAGGTAGAATATACCTAGAGTACCTACACCTACCTATGATGTAGGTAGATTAAAGCTTATTTTGACGTTACCTCTCACTTCGGTGTCACAAGCTGAATTTTTCAGGGATGGAAGTACAGTACATCACAGTACATGATATGGGGACCCTTATTCCGAAAGTAGTACAAAATTAGACCGGGTAAAAAGGCACTATCATCAAAAATCGATATATTAATACCACCGTATAGAGAAAACAAATACTTATTTTTTGATCCAGTACACAATAAAGTCTTCATAGGTAGTAATTTTTTATAATTATTTACAAAAAAACATTTCCATTAGCGCTTATGACCAAAAAAAACTTTAAACATGAATAATCATTTCAATCATGCGAAAATTTGGTTTTAAAATAAATTTTTTAATATAACTTTCATTTAACGAAAAACGAAGGCCTAAATGAAAAAAAGAAACAATTTAAAAGTTTCGCTTATGTCTTGACAAGGTATCAAAGCAAACCCCATATTTTTGCTTTTAAACTAATAAAGATATATCAATAAACAATTAGCGATGTAATGGTTCTTGCGCGCGCTGGCCGACTGCCGCCGCTGCGCCGAGATTTCCTATACCCTTGTATATATGACGTCATGGTGTGGCAAATGTAGCATTTTAATTCGATTTGGGCTCCCTTATATAGGATAATAGAAAAATTTTCAATGTTAAAAAAATAATCATTAACAATTGTTAATATAGTAAAATGCCAATAGATTTATGTTTATACCAAAAATGATCATTTTTTTTGTTTGAATAGTCATAATACTTTTTTTGTGATTCCTGAAAATTTTGCTTTTTGGGGTTACGTCTTATTGCAAATAAGCCATCGATATGTTTTTGTCGAAGCTGTAGGTTCATTTGCTTTGGAGATAAAAAATTAAATGCAAAAGGTCAGAAAATCCCATGTTATTTAAATGGGAAAAGTATCATGATTTCGGCACGGTTTAAATTAAAAATTTAGAGGTTTTTTACATTGGATAATATTTTTTAGACCAAAAACTAAAACTTCAGAAGGCGGCACCAAAAAAAATATCTACTTGGGAAATAACGGACACCCTAATAACCAGGACACGGATAGTGAGCAGAGTGCCGAAGAAAATGAACTGGAAGAAAGTGCAGGTAATTATTTGATTGGAAGGGATAAAAAACAAGATGGTTGAAAGAGAAACCAAAATTAAATGTTCGTACAGGATCTCACAACATCGTCTTACATCTTCCTGGCCCAAAAGGTCCTGCGAAGAATGCCATGTCAATTTTGCAATGTTGGTTATGTTTTTTTTTACTCCCGATCTAATCGCAATAATAGTAGAGTGCACCAATATTTGTATTCAAAAGAAAAAGGGAACATACAAAGAATATTCAAGAACCAAAGACACTAACGCATCCGAGGTGAAAGCTCTGATAGGACTTCTGTATTTGGCTGGTATTTACAAAGCAAATCGTCTGAATCTTGACGACTTATGGCAGATTGATGGAACTGGTGTCGAGGTATTCCGTGCCGCGATGAGCCCGCAACCATTCCGATTTTTACTACTTGTTTACGCTTTGATGATCTAAATAGTCGTGACTAAAGAAGGCAGCTTGATAAGTTTGCTCCTATAGGATCTGTTTTTGAACAGTTCACAACATTATGCAGCAAAAATTATACTAACTCAGAATACATAACAATTGATGAGATGTTACCTGCTTTCAGAGGAAGATATCCCTTTAGGCAGTATATGCCCAATAAACCTTCAAAATATGGATTGAAAATTTTTGCTATGGCTGATAGCAAAACGTTTTATGTATCAAATATGGAGGTATATTTAGGCAAGCAGCCTGCCGGTCCATTTGCATTAAGTTATTCCCCAGATTTGGTTGTCAAAAGATTGATTACTCCGATCACTGGCAGTGGCAGAAATGTCACAATGGACAACTGGTTTACCAGTTTGCCACTAGCTTTGGATTTGGTGCAGGATCATAACCTCACTGTATTGGGAACGGTTCGTAAAAATAAAAAAGAACTTGCTCCAATATTTATAGAAACCAAGCAACGTAAAGAGTGTTCATCCGTTTTTGGCTTTCAAGAAAAAAATACAGTTTTATCCTGTGTCCCTAAGAGAGAAAAAACTGTTATTTTGCTAAGCACGATGCACAACGATGATGCAATAGATCACTTTACTGGGGAGAAATATAAGCCCGTAATCATTACAGACTACAACAGAACAAAAAGCGGAGTTGACGCTGTCGATAAGTTATGTGCTTCATATAACACCTCACGAAATAGCAGACTATGGCCCCTAACCATATTTTTCACTTTGCTAAATATAGCGGGAATAGATTCAAGAGTTATTTATACCTGGAATAATTCTAAAAACATCAAACGGCGTTTTTTCCTCAAACAATTTTCTCTCGATTTGATCAGTGACCATATGAACTCCAGAAAATCAAACAAATATTTATCCAAGGGACTCAAAAGGAAAATGGTCGATTTTATGGAAACTGAAGATAATGTAAGTCCACCAAAGCGTCCAAATCTTGACCAACAGAAGCGATGTACTACCTAGATCAAAGGATCGAAAAACTAAGTATTTCTGCCAAAAATGTTATAAATTCTTGTGTTTGGACCATGTAGTTTCTCTTTGTAATTACTGCGTTTATGAAAATCGTGATGAAGAGAGTGCTGAGTTTTACGTTTTTTTACTTAATGTAAAATTTTCAAATTAAAAAGAAACATTTTTTTTTTCGATTTTTTTGTAGACTTGATTATTTAAACAGTTTCAAACAAGTTTATTAATTATACTGTAGTCATTAGATACTTAAATAACTTATATACTTTATAATTAAACTAATAAAACCATGTTTAGAAAATATTTGATGCTTAGATGTCACTTTAGTACGATGGGGTATGAGACACCCAACCGCACTAAACACGTAAGAATTTATAGCCGCACTAACTAAAAGTTAATTCTATAGCTGATATTGTATGACTGAATGGAGATTATTAAGAAACCACTCTGATATATGATACAGAATTTTAACAATGATTGTCAACAGTTTTGGTTAGATGTTAGGAGTTTAAAGCTAGGAGATACCACAGCTGCTTTTTCCATCTTGTGCAAATTTGTAGAAAGTATATTTTGCTTGCCACATTCTTCTGCTAACGTAGAAAGAGCATTCTCATCAGTAAATTTATTAAAAACGAATCAAAGGAATAGACTACAAACCAGCACACTTTCTGGAATTCTGCACACCAAACAATATCAAACATCGAACCCAACAGTTGTTATAATTTTGAAGTTAATCAGCAGATTTTGTTAAAATTCAATGAATATAATTTAAAATCTTCAGAGTCAGAATAGATACATGTTCTTTACTTAAGCCTTAAATAAAGTAAAACACTTATAATTGTATTTCCAAAATTCACGTATATCATTATGACCGGACTTAAAATCGGTTCCATTGGTTCTTAGAGCCAACCACTTGTCAATTATTTGTATATTCACATCAAATAAATTTGGAAATAATTTAGAAATATGACCAATATGCTTGATTTTTGGAGATTTAAGTATTTACGGATCTGTAAATTCCATATTTTCGAATATAATAGATAAGAGAAAATCTTGAAAAATTTTGCTGAACACTTTCTATATAAAAATTTAAACAATTTAATTTCATTCATTCTAATCTATTTTTTTAAACTGCTTGAATTTATTTCTGCTGAGAAATACATCCCATCCAGTTGTAAACAATATTTCGGATCTTTAAAATCTAATTTATCAATACCTGTAAAACTAATAATCTGGTATGTTATATAAAACTCTAAAAAAAATTCAGTGCTTTTGATATTTCCTTGTACAGAATGTGAATTTTTGGAGATTCACTTTGCATCATTTTATTTAATTCATTAAAAATAGGTAAAACCTGAAATAGTAATTCTGTTATAATAATATCTGCTCTTTTATCTGCTTGGGTGACGTTATTTGCAACTTCATCAGTAAAATAAAGCCTCAGGGCATTATATTGCTTTAAAAGTTTTTTTTACCACACTCTCTAATGAAAGCCAACGGGTTTGGCTTGGGCGAATAAGTTTAGCTGGAGCAACATTAACAAATTCCTGAAATCGTTTTAATTCTTCAACTCATTTTAGACTATTGGAAAAAAAGTTTTAAACCTAAAAAAGTAAATCTAGGTAAAACATTAATTTTATTACTATTTTTTAATTAGATACCTCTCTTGTTAGTTGTTCATCTTCTCCCGGCAGTTTTTGGCATGCATAAGTAGCACAAAAGTGGAAGCTGTGGCAAACTAAAATTATGAATCTCATGCAGAAGCATTTTTTTTCCATCGTATGGTAAAAATCTCGAATGGCATCAAACAAGACACTATGGATCTCTTTGCCTCAGATATGTTTATGACAGGGGCAGTCTTAAATAATAAAATAATAAAACCCCAATATCCACACTGTAAAAAGCAAAACAACATGACCAGATTGAACGTACGGGGTCTAGAGAATAACGATACCGCCGACGCCCTCCCGGAAGCCATCAAAAAATCACTTCCACCGATAACTTCAATCTCAATCTTGGTAGCTGAACAAGGCTGGACACAATTAAGGGATGTGATTCATAAAACCAGCAAAGCAGTACTGGGAAAGTCCAACAAAAAGAAACAACCTGACTGGTTTAACGAAAATCAACCTCATGTACAGGCTTTGTTGGAACAAAAGCATAGAGCACATCAAGCAGTCACTGCAAATTCACACAATCCAAGGCTGGTAGACAACTTTAAAGCAGCCAACAACACGCTTCGAAGAAATCCAACTAAAGGATAACTGGTGGTCACAAAAGGCTAACCAGATTCAAGAGTATGCCACGCATTACGATCGTAAATTCTTCGAGGCTGTAAAAGAAGTATACGACCCAACTAAGAAGACCAGCTGCCCATGGCAGAAAATGGCGAACTTCTAAAAAAGGAAGAGCAAATAAGAAACCGCTGGAAAAAGCATTGCAGCCATATCCTTAACCAAGAACCAACCAGCTAACCTTAGTACCAGTTAGTACGTTTATTCCTATCTATATCTCTGGTTTATCCAATCTACCAATTTCTACAGAATTTTGAGCAAGGTTTGGTTTGACAAGCGCAAATTTTGGTAGTGACAACACTGATTGCTTGGTACCTGGTTTGACGATTAGTCGACAGCTTCACTCTACTCCTCCGAAGGTAAAATTCGATAGAAAGCCTCGCTTTCTAGAAAGTGCTCACCCGACTACTCCCCGCACCTTCCGCAAAATTCTGCCATTTTGTCTTGCGCAGTGTCTTACACCCCCAGCAGTGTCTTACTTCCACTACACTTTTTATAGTAATGTATCAATAAATTTCAATGTCAAACATATTTTCCTCTAGAATAAGCTAGTGAAAAAATTTCGAATTCTTCTAATAATTTTAAATGTATACAGGGTGCTCCAAGCTTAGCTAGCATTAGGAGTTTCTAAAGTTCATGGAACTTTTTGCTTCACTGTGAGATCTCGCGATTAAAAATATTCTCAATATGGCGGCACTTCCGGAAGTACCAGAGGTTCACAGCATCTCTCTTATTTTAAATTAATACCCCTCTTTTTTCTAACACATTTGAATTATCTATAAAATTTCATTAACTTTGATCTAAAACACACTGTATCTAAAATTACCGTTTCTGAAAAGATATTTAAATTATTTAAATTAGAGTTAAAATTTGCCTGCCAAAGAAAAGTTATATATAATCTAAACATCATTGTTAGTGTGACCAGTTCAAACACTGTATCTTAAATAGACGACATGCTATTCTAAAAATAAAATTTCGATATATTCATATGTTATGCGCTGTAGCTGTCTTTGAATCTAGCATTCAAAAGGTTGTAACTTACTTTTTCAAATGAAAACCCACCATTTCTATTTTGCTAACCCAAAGGTTTCTTAATTCGCTAGTTTTTGATATACCGTTTTTAACTTAAACCCTTCAGTCCGTCCGCCAAAGAAATGTATGGAAGGAAAGGATATGGAACGGAATGGAAACGGAACGGATAGTGTGCATTGTCCTATTCATTTACATGATATAATACTTTATGTAAACAGAAGGGAAACGTAAGGGAGCTGATATGGAAGGTATAGTGAGAATCAACCTTTAAATGGAATTTTTGAAAATTTCCGTCATAACAGTTGTTATATACAGGGTGGCGCACCTCATTCGCCTCGGTTGATTATACGAAAAAGGAAAGATGTAGAAACAAAATATTTTATGATTATATGTGGGGTGGCAATGTGCACAATTTAAAATTATTTTAAAATGTACAGGGTGTTTCAGAACTAAGATACATACCAAAGTTATATTTTTTCTTATGGAACACCCTGTATTTTATTTCATTTTTGGATTCTTGGGCCCCAAAAAAGATAATTGTTATAAAGGTTAAATATGTTTAAAATCTTTGGTTTTTGAGATATTTAAAGATATTTAAAAATGCAGGCTACAATAGAATAGATTATTAACACCCTGTACATTGCTTTTCAGAGTTAATTCTTGTGCTGACCTTTAAGCCAGAGGAATAAACTTTACTGAAAAATTTGATTGCTTTGTTTAATGTATACAGGGGTATCAAAAATTGCTGGTCTATTTTTAATATTTATTTTACATAAAAACTTCCTTATTTCAAATACAACACCCTGTATTTTTTAAACATATCGAAGCAGGTTTAAATGCTCTTTCAAACTATATTAGGGTTTCCTATACCTATCTAGCTCAGATTTTGAATAAAGAGCAATTTTTCAATAAAATGGCAACCAAGATAGCTGATGTCAAGTTTCTAGTGACAGTTAGTAGCTATTTTGAAAATCAAAATTAGTTTATGGACTTTATTTAAATTTATAGCAGTTTATTTTTGTTTAATTTGCTTACAGTAGTTTTTTAAATAATATTTATTAAATATGTATTTATTATTCTATCAAGAAAAACGAAGAAGTAGTTCTTTCATTTGTTTTACGTTCACTTGTAGATAGGTACCTATATGGATTTTCTATAAAAGAACCAATTACGGCAAATTCATTTTCTAACGACAGGTTTCTGCTTACTAGGTTTTTATAAACTATACTACCATAGTTCTGCGAAATAGAAAAGTATTTTTTCAAGGAAAGCTTATCAGGAAGACTTCTATTTGGATATCTTTAAGCATAATCCCTTGAGGCCAAGAAGCAATTTTCCTCACAAAATAAAATCACTGGTAACATATCCATTCGTTCCACCAGCAGATACTGCTGGTGGATTTATTTTTCTTGATAAAATAATGAATACTTACTTATTAAACTACTGTAGCTAAATTTAAGTAAACTGTTATAAATCTAAATAATAATGTCCATAAACTAATGTCGATTTTGAAAAGAGTTACTAACTTTAACTAGAAAATTGCCATGGCGACACCAGCCATCTTAATTGCCATTTTATTGAAAAATTGCTTTTTATTCAAAATCTGAGCTAGATAGGTATAGGAAACCCTAATACAGTTTGAAAGAGCATTTGAATTTGCTTCGATTTATT